TTCAGAACATGTGCATCGCCCAAATAATAGGAAACTAAGATAAATATTAAATAATAGCTTTGTTATGCTCCTTTCGTGTCAGTTGAGGTCTGCGAGTTTTGCAAACCTGTTAGGCTACACTAAAAAAAAACAAGTTAAGCCTTTTCTTTAAGATTTACCAATTTTAATTGAATAGTAAAATACCATCAAATTGGATTGAATAATCATTACATATTATGAATTAAGAATTTTAAAAAACCTACAACTTAGTTAAATTTTGTTTTATAATTTTTAGAGGAGCATGGGAATGGACGATTTAGTTTATGTGATTTGTATTAAAAAAATGTAAAAAAAATTGAACGTTTACATTTATGAATGCGAATCACATAAACTAAATGGTCCATTCTCTTACAAAAAGTTTTACCCATTTAAAAATATTCATTCATAATTCATAATATTAATAATATGTAAATTTGATGGAATTTTTAATTGAAATTTTTTAATTGAAAAATCTTAAATACTTTTTTTGAGTGTACTCAAAGCACAGTATAAACCCCTCATTTACGTGATTTTATTTTCTCAAAATTTCACCAAAATTAATAATTTGATCAAAATTAAATATAAAAGTTATGCCTGCCAGAATAGGTAACATGGTGGAAAATGATGGCGTCACTCAGTTATTATAATAAAACAACATGTATTAAAGGAAAAAAAAAACATTTGTTTGATTATTCTTCTTACAGGGACTTATTAGTAACAGGGTTGAATTGTTGAAATAGAATGAGATTTCTTTACTTTTTGTCCAATCAGGCCATATAAAAGGACCAAATTATTAATTAAATTATTATTAATTAAATAATATTTTGGGTTGGGGTTGAAGAGTGTTAAAGAATGTCACTATTGTATAACGGTGGAAATCATGTGGTAACAGGGTTAAACTCAAAATTTGGGCTACAGACGATTATTATAAAATTTGTTATTTTTATTTATTATCAGTACGTTGTATTGTCCTGTGTAATAATTGTATTGTGTAATAATTGTATTATTTTTATGGCTCCTCCCCTTTTGGGCGGTGTCAGGTTTCATATTACACAATTTATTTTAACTACTTTATTATCAAAACCTTTTCTAATCTTGACAAAAAGCATATCGTCGGAAAGAGTCTCAAGGTTGCATATTTTGTGATAGAAGTAATATTTGGACAGAAATGTATTAATTTGATACAGGAGAATGCATTAAACAAAATCAATGGAATGTGTGTGTCACCCAGTGGCTATTTTTTGTAAACAAAATCTAATGGGAACTTCATTTTTTTTTTTTATATCAACTTCAAATTTGGAACACAACTTGATTAGACATATGGCTTTGATTTTATAGTAATTTTAGCGTAAAACATTTTTTATATAAAATAAAAAAATATTTAGTACAGTAAATTTAAACTTCCATAACTTTTTCATACTTTCATTTTTTTAGTGCTTTCACTTCAGCGATAATCTGCTGAGTGCCTTTAAAACAAGACCAAACTAGGTCTATATTCCACAATTACAAACATTTCAGTTTGGATAGTGCATTTTCACATCTATTCTCAAAAAGGAGTTAAAACGAGCTGCTGGTTAATTCTATGTTAGAAACACACACTTCTCACAATTTATTTGTGACGTACGTTTCCGTTGTCCATAGTTCATCCTGCAACGCTGAACAACAAAATATGACAATACGTGGTTTCACAGTTTCATAAGATTCACATTTATTTGGTTTCAAGTCCTAAAACATTCTACACATGCTTTTATAACACACATGGGTCACATTCTTCACAGGTAGTAAAAGTCAGAGGAGCAGAAGAAGAGGTTTGTGACATGGGTTAGGAAAAGCACCTCAGACATCACTCCCAAAAACACACGGACAAACGAGTGTGGATTCGGGCGTTTCAGGAGCGTGTCTGTTCCCTGAGATCATCACCCATGTTTGGAAAGCTCTCGTCTGGCTCTGTACGGTTTGCTCAAGCCCCAACATTCACCAGTGTTTCTTCCCACCGGATCGAGAATAAATCCAAAGAGAACTGATTGAAAGAAGCTCTCTGGCTACGACAACACTTTTTTTTTTTTTTGATAGTCTTTCAAGAACCAATCAGGATACCCGTAACAATCAAGTGAAAGAAATCTGATTGGCTTAAAAAAAAAAAAGGTGTAAAAGCATTAACATGATCACGATGGACTGACGACAAACTTGTAAACAGTTGAGAACTAAAAAATAACATCATACAGACAAGAAAAAAAGAAAAAAAAACATTCTTCATGAAAACAATTCACAAACAGTGTTTACAACTAGGAATATAATACTGTTCATTTCACATGTAATAATTGCACTGAGAAACAAGTCTTCATTGAAGAGTGAAGCAGCATCTGATGTTTATATCAGGCCATATCACACACACTCAGAAATGAACGATTACTTGGGAGGCGGATGAACAGGTGGAAGCTACGCTCTTATCTCCATCTCCCAAGTTTCCAGAATCGCATATGAGAAGGACAAAGTCACTGGTGCTTTGAAACCAATAAATAACGATTAATACTTTGCCTTAATGAAAGCACGCTACATGATGACACACAAAAGAGGTAGTTTCAAATGAAAAATGTATAAAAAAGAAACAAACGAGGACGCTTTGTAAGAACACAAAAAGGCCTAAATGGGGAGTGTGGCTCTGCTACGAGATTCAAAGGCTTCTCGCAAACGCCAGAGGAACAAAACCGTCAGAAAAGAGATATTCCTGAGTCTCAAGGCCCATTGAAACACTGCAGGTCTGACTCCAGGTACAGCGCTGAATAAAAGACGAGCTCAGCGGGGTGTTTAAAGCAGCGAGGCTGTTCCTCTCTGTTCTGGGGAAGCTTGTTTCCAACACAGAATGAAAAATAAAAAAGGTAATTGCGACTTTTTATCTCACAATTGCGTGATATAAAGTAGCAATTGTGAGTTAAGACAAAATTGCATGATATAATGCAGCAATTGTGTTATAAAGTCAGAATTGCAAGATATAAAGTCAGAATTGCGTGATGCAAAGTCAGAATTGCGCCATATAAAGTCAGATTTGCGTGATATAAAGTCAGAATTGCGTGATATAAAGTCAGAATTGCGCCATATAAAGTCAGAATTGCGAGATATAGTCAGGATTGTGATATAAAGTCAGAATTGCGAGACGTAAAGTCAGAATTGCGATATAAAGGCAGAATTCCGAGATATAGTCAGGATTGTGATATAAAGTGAGAATTTCGCAATATAAAGTCAGAATTGTGAGATATAAAGTCGCAATTGCGAGAAATAAACTCAAAAATCTGACTTTATATCAGGCAATTCTGACTTTATAACACAATTATGACTATTTCTCGCAATTCTTACTTTGTAACACGCAATTCTGACTTTATATCGTGCAATTCTGACTTAAATCACTCAATTCTGACTTTATATCACAATTCTGACTTTAAATCGCGCAATTCTGACTTAAATCACTCAATTCTGACTTTATATCGCGCAATTCTGACTTTATATCGCGCAATTCTGACTTTATATCACGCAATTCTGACTTTATATCACGCAATTCTGACTTTATATCTCGCAATTCTGACTTTAAATCACACAATTCTGAGAAATAAAGATGTAAACTCCCAATTGTGAGATAAAAAGTCAGAATTACCTTTTAAAATGATTTATTCTGTGGCAGAAACAAGCTTCCATACTATTCTGACTTGGCCGATGGCTTGCAAATGCGTATTATCTCAGTCTACGTCGTGTGTTTTGGAGTTCTTACCTGTAACAAACACTTCCCCAGTATCAGGAGTTTAGTCTGACATTTAGCTAGCTCACACTCTAAAACAAAACATTCACCACATCTACGACAGCAAACGATGTACATGATGAAGGGGATGATGGATGACACGACGAATGAAACGCTTAGGATTAAGGGCGTACGGACAGAGCGGTAAATGGTGGTTTAGCTGCACTCGAGACGGGCCGTTACCAGGCTGAACGTGCGTCTTTGGTTTGGGCCCCTTCGTCATTGTCTGGTGCAAAAATGTAAACATTACTCGACGCATATCGAACGTGTTTGGAATGTCTGAAAAAATGAGCGCATCCTCTGATAGAAGCCTCGGCAAAGGCGTCGGATGGCTTGTGTTTTTTTACTTTTCCTCGAATTGTGTTTTTACAGTAAAACTCACTGCATCTGATACTCAAAACCTGAAACAAAATACCCTTCAAAAAAACAACAACAACAACAACAACACTCCCCCCTCCCTAAACTCATAAAAAGAAAACTTCTAAAAAGGACCTACAATGTCCGGAATACTACAAACTACTAAACCTACAAGTAAATCTGAGAGGGATGTGAGTGAATTAGAAAAAAACAGTAACTTTACCCTGTTTAAAATGTGAGGGAAGCAGATCGGGCCTGAACGAGACTGTGAGGAAATCCATTTCTCTCCCTTTATTGTGGTTTGGGAACATTGGGAACTAATCGGATGCTAATCCTAACAGACAATTTAGTGACTGAATCTCTCCAGTGCGAAATTTTAGCTGATAAATAGTTGAAGTGTGTGTGAAATGGGAAATTCTGATTAAGCCCATACACCACTTTTCTCTGTCGGACCGAGTGCAAACCGAACGAAGTTTCCCGTTTTATACTGCAGAAACAAATATTCTCCTAATTTGGATTTTCGTCTTGTTTTCCAGGACAAACATTCTTAAATCAAGACACAAGCAAAAATTACAAATTAAGTCTTGTTTCTAATGAAATAATGTATCAAAATTAAACATTTCTGATTAAAACAAGAAAGAAAAAAACTGCCAATGAGGTCAGAAAAATAAACTTAATTCCAAGGGAAAACAAGTTGATTTTTCTGAACACACTGACAGATATTTTTCTTTCGTTTAAGCTTAAACTCACTTCATTTTGGTAAATTTTTTCAGAAAACAATCCTGAATATCCTAAGTCGTTTTGCTTCTCAAGTCTTGATTAGGGTTGCAAACTTTCCAGGATTTTTGGGAAACTTTCCAGGATTTTTGGGAAACTTTCCGGGATTTTTGGGAAAGTTTCTGAAAATTTACCGGAAATGTTCAGCCCCTTTGCAACCCTAATCTTGATCTAAAAAAGTTCAGATATTTGTACTGGAAAGCAAGACATAAATACTAAGAAAGTAATTTTTTTATTCTCCCCAGAAATAAGGGCTTACTTCCCTCCAGATTTGCATAACACTTTGGTCAAAACAATAAAAAAAGAGAAAGAAATCAACATAAACAATATCAACACACATATTCTGTTGTCAAGTAAAATCCTCACTTCGTCCTCAGCCTATGATTGTGAAACATACGCGTACACCTCTCTTTAGTGTAAACAATCCCCCTCTCCGTCGTGGCCTTGCATAGGAAAATAAAAACCACGCGTTGAAGAGGTCACGCGACTATTGAACGTGTTCGAGGACCGCAGAAACGAAACTTCCCGGAGCGTCGCAAGACAGAGAGAGAAAGGTTTTCTTCCTGAGGTAGTCTTTCAATACAACAATTCCTTTCATACTTATCTGTCCCTATCAGCACCCAAAAGAAAGCGGATAGACGTATCAAATAAAACCTTAACCGATCAGTGGTTACACGTCACATATCGCAGTTGGACTGAAGCGTGTGAAATCCACTGCGCTTTTTGTGCATTTTCATTTTGAAAAGGAGCATGTGCACAGTGTGGATCAACATACATTCAGCTCTGTCTGGTAATAAATAGAGAGAAAAAACAACACTAATCTAAACAAAATGCATAAAATAGTTTCTTATCACATTCATGAGAGGAGGAGGAGCGTACCGGAAGCCCCACCCCCAAATATAACACCCGCCCCCGTGCAATAAGATGGGGAGGGTGTTTTCAAGGGAGGGGCGGGGCTTAGTTGGCAGGAGCAGAGCCCTTCGTGACGCAGGGGGAGGAGCCTGTCCTGTAGTTGCTCAGACTTGACTTACAGGAGTGCAATACTGCCTTGAACAGCAGGGGGAGCTGCTCCAACGGGATGTTGACTAACTTCCCTGAAACACCAGTGAAGAACAGCTGAGTTTAACTGCTAGTCATACCTTAAACAATAGGTTTATTGTCTCTTCTGGACTTACCTGCAATGCAGCGGATCTCTGGCAGACACATCATGATCTCGGGAAAGCGTTTGGGCTGGTGAGGGTACTTGTACTCAGTGTAATCCTGACAAACGTACCAGTAACGTTTGTTCAACTGCTCCAGCTGGGTCACATTGGTCAGACCACGGATATCTAGACAAACATGAAGAATCATCACAGTACAGGAAATTAAACAACGTTTGAAAAACACAAGGCTTTTCTATGTCATGGCATTTTGATATTACGCCTCTATTATTGTTGATTCTCTATATATCTGTTTGAGTGGTCAGTTTTCATGAGGAAAGATCAATAATCAGTCCAGAAGAATACGTTTATATACGCCAGGGCTCGACATAAAGCCTTGTCATGTTTCAAGTGTCATATGATTTTTTTGTGGTGTAAATATAATTTATTCTTTATTAACTTCTTTAATGTGATCAATAAATTCAATTAGAATAATAAGACACTATAAGGCTGTTACCAATCAAATTAAATCATTTACACAGATAAATTACAACTGCATTAGATAATGTAATAAGATTGTTTTAAAAAAATGTAAATATAGAAATAAGCAATAAAAACGCTACTTTTAATACTTAATGAGTTATTCATTCAAACGATCCATTCAAACGGCTGATTCGTTCAAGAATGATTCGTTATGAGTGAGTCATTGAATCTTTTGCTCAACCGATTGGTTCAAAGCGCTGGATCGTTCAGTAATGGAGTGAGATGCTGTGAGATGCGCTGTGGTTCTGCTGGGATCTTTGTTTGGATCTATTTTCGCTGCTGAAATAGTACAAAAACACTCAATATTACATCTAAAATTTAAGTAACTTAAAGCAGCACTAAGTAGGAATTCCGTTTTTGTCAAACAGCGACCCCTAGAGTCGCTGTGGAGTACTTGTACTGTCGTGAATAGCACTCACGCAGAGATGGCTCGCACTCACGGCCGGATCCCCTCCCCCTGTACACCGGTACCTGTTCAGTAGGATGGACGCTGTAACGAGTGGAAATAAGGTATGGCCCCTTTAAGAGCTGCGCGTGCCCTGTTTAACTGTCGGCAGTCTGTATTGTATGTGCGCCTCGAACACCACATGTAGACGGCGCCGGGTTATTTCTGTTTGATGCTCATTTTATCAGATCTGTTTTTTGCCGTAAAGCAATTCGTTACCCGCCAGCCCAAAGTTGCAAGGGTGGTTTTGCGGCTCACAGGCACCAGGGGGGTGCGAGACGACCACCATTCAACACGAAATCAGTAATATAAACATTACAATGACTCCAAAGCTGTTCGGTTAAGGTAAAAAAGTTACTTAGTTCACCTTTAATATTACCTTGTTTATTGAACTGTTGAATGAAATCAGTGTCACTTTTTTAATCATGATGGTATTCAGGAAAACAGCGCTCTTGATCGTGTGATGTTGCTTGATTGTATCATATGTTATAATTATAAAAATTCAACAAAATTCAAATTCAGTATGTTAACTGAGTTTGTGTGAGATGCGCTCATCTGTCTGCGCGAGCCTCAACAGCGTCAGGTCATTACATTACACACATTATTGTCCACTATCAATTGCCACTTACACTATGTCGTTTTGGTGATTCCCTAGTTTTTGTTTTGCTATTTGTCAAGTCAAATTCTCTTTCACTTTTCCCTTAAGCGTTAACATCGAGCCCTGTAAAGTCTGTTGTATTGCAAGGTAAATACTAGGGGTGTAGCGAGACTCTAATGTCACGATTCGATACATATCACGATACTGAACTCACGATACGATATTATTGCGATACTCCAAGACATGATAAAAGGTTGATTAAAATGCTAAATTTTATATTACATTGTGTGTGTAAATGAATAGACTTGGACTTGCTGCTGAAACCCAAAGCACAGGACAATAGAGACACCAGAATAAACATATTCATGATTCTGAAGCTGAAAATACTTAATTATTTTAGATGAATATGCTTGAACTCTGTCACTGACTAGATATATTTAAAATAATGTCGACCACTTTTTACTGGTAACATCAGACATTTGGCGTTATCACTATCAGGACCCAAAAATATCCCTCCATTACATTAATATACATCATATTCAACATTATATATAGCAGTTTAATGCAGTACTGACACTAAAACTCTGAAAACTTGAATTTTTCTCACAGTAATTTAATTTTGGGTAAATTATACACAATACATAGTCACTATCCACGATACATATTGTTGCATTTTTGTATTGCGATATATTGTTACACCCCTAGTAAATACGAATGAATGCGTCTCAGTGGCGTTTTACCTTGGTTGAGGAAGTTGATGGCCTTCATGCAGGCGTACTCCTCGTTGCTGACCTTCAACTGGTGGAACTTACGGAACAGATATATCAGTTTCTCCATCACCTCCATCCCATCCTCACTGAAACTACACACACACACACACACACACACACACTCCATCAATGCACTACAGATTTCACAGCTGACCTCACAGGCCCCTTTTTTATAAAAGTTAATTTATTTCAGTAATTCAACTTAAAAGGTGAAACTAATATATTATATAGACTCATTACATGCAAAGTGAGATATTTCAAGCCTTTATTTGTTGTAATTGTGATGATTATGGCTTACAGCTCATGAAAACCTTTTCACAATAATCATCAAAATTATAACAAAGGCTTGAAATATCTCACTTTGCATGTAATGAGTCTTTATAATATATTAGTTTCACCTTTTAAGTTGAAGAATTGCTGAAATAAATGAACTTTTGCACGATATTCTCATTTTGAAATGAATGAAATGCTGAATATGCGCACTAGAGTAAAGGCCCGTTCACATCAAGGACAATAGCTATACAGATAACGATAAAGATATAGTTCTAAAAATCGTTCTCAATATTAAAGAATATCAGATTCACATCACAAATATAATGGGAAATGCACAGTTGAAATCACTTTCAGAACGAGTTTATCCAGCTGATCAATGTAAAAACACTGACAGCCAATCAGAATCCATCCTGCTGTAACGAGCGCGAGCATTTAAAGAGACGCGCTTAGAGTAGACCGAACGACATATTTATCATTATAGTTATCGTTCTCGGTGTGACTGTGAACAGCTTCTCCTCACAAGAGCCGACATCCACACATGAGAGTTTTTAATAAACCAGTTTCTGAGATGTGTTATCATCTGATTCCATATCCGTGCACATCCTGTTAGCCATTAAACCAGACTTTATGAGCTTAATTTATGTTACTAATGAGATAATACGGATACATTTGAGTGGGAGACCGTATATAATGTTTTAGTGACAGAGTATATCTTGGTGCTAAATCACTTCATGAACCCATGCCACGACTTACCCAGCACCATTCATCTACTGTTCTGAATCTGATCGGTCTCTACGTTTATCTTCCGCTCTCCTTTACTTACGACGCTCTCTTTGAACTGTCTCCCTAAAGCTGGGTCGTGACCTTCGGCGTGTACCTGCCCCGTTAAAGGCCAGCGTTTCACTGCCTCAGACCTCATGCCCTGCATTTCTACCCAGCATGCAACAGTAAATCTATCCAGGAGATCAGGAAGAGGCGGGTCAGAGGTCAGGTGATCGCAGACTAATTTACACACGCCACACACACTCCCCTCCTCCACGTCAGCTCTAGTATTTCGTTCTTCAGGCTACGGGTATACGAAGCACGGCTCTGGAAATGGAATCGGACCAAAAGCAACAAGACCAAAATGTAAAGACGTTCATAATGTTACAAAAGATTTCTGTTTCCAATAAATGCTGTTCTTTTGAACTTTCTGTTTATAATGATTCCTGCACAGAAAAATAATCACGGTTTGCATAAAAAAATGAAGCAGCGCAACTGGTTTCAACATTGATAATAATCATAAATGTTTCTTGAGCAGCAAATCCTCATATTAGAGTGATTTCTGAAGGATCATGTGACACTGAAGACTGGAGTAATGATGCTGGAAATTTAGCTTTGATCACATACATTGTAAAACATATTCAAATAGAAAAAAGTTATTGTAAATTGTAATATTTATTGTTAAATCTATTTTTTTTACTGTATTTTTGATCAAACGTGAGCATAATACTTTTTCAAAACATTAAAAAAATCTTACCGACCCCACACATGCAAACACACACACACACACACACACACACACACACACACACAAGCACATAAGAGACATACACATGCAAACACACACATGAGCACACAAGCATACACACACATGAACACATACTCACACACACTCACATACACATACTCACACACATGCACTCTCTCTCTCTCTCTCACACACACACACACACACACACACATTCACTCACAAACACACACATACATAAATTCATTTATATATACATATATTTATATATACACACACTCATACACTAAAATGGTATAAAATAAGTGTTTGTTTTGTTTTAATATATTTTATTACAATTTCCTATACATTTTCATATATATATATATGAAAATTTTAATTTAAATGATTCAATTTGAATAATAATTTTAAATGCATTATTAAACTATTGTTTACTATTAAAATGTATATTATAACAAATAATATTATACAAATTTAATTAAACTTTTCATTGAAATTTTTATAATGAATCTATAATAGAGAAAAACCCCCAAAGAAAACAGAAACAATGAAAAAAAATGTATATCAATGTTGTAAAAAGCCATGCGAAAGCACTTTTCAAATAGTTTCTCACAAACACACACTAGGAAGCCATAAAAACCTGATTTCTGAGGAGATGGAGACATACAGGGAGAGTCAGGTGAGGCTGTGTTTTACTCTGCCGTTCTCCCACACACACACACACACACACACACACACAGATGCCTGAGCGTATCTGAAGCATGGAGAACCGTCTAGCTGCAGTGATTTAAAACAAGCTCACAAGAGCGGGAGGAGATATTCCTCAGGTCCGTGTTTTAATTCAGTTCTTTTTAATGATTCAAACCGAGAGCTGGGAATAAAAAAGGTGGGTGACATAAGGAGCTAAGCACATGGTCACTTAGGGTGTGTCCAAATCCACTTTTGCTCGTTTAACGGCGAGAAAAATGGTCGGCGCTCCCGGCGCTGGTCTAAAAGGGTCGTCTCTATTCTCTTAATGAGTAAAGGGTGTGTTTTGTCTTTATTCTCTTAATGAGTAATGGGTGTGTTTTGTCTTTATTCTCTTAATGAGTAATGGGTGTGTTTTGGGCGTAACGTGCAATAAACCAATCAGAGTCTCTTCTCCCATTACCTTTAAAAGACACTCGCGCCGCTGCGGATTCTCTATTTACATGGAGGAATTTGCAAGCAGAAAAACTGAATGCTTCTCTAGTGATGAAGCGGATCTGCTCGTGCGCGAGGTTAAAGCTGTGTGTGTGTGTGTGTGTGTGTGTGTGTGTGTGAGGTTAAAGCAGAACATCTACGGGACAAGCCGGATTCCACCATCTCTTTATCTACACAATATAAATCATTTACACGGTAATCCTTTTATTTGTAATATTTGGCATGTTTGTGAGCTTTGCCCTGAATGTGTTTCTGGTGACTTTGAGTGTGTGTGTGTGTGTGTGTGTGTGTGTGTGTGTGTGTGTGTGTGTGTGTGTGTAATAAGCAGAGTGTATGTGTGTTGTAGACCCGCCTATAGGCTCATATTACTAATGTTCTCTTAAAATAAAATAAAAAATACTGCACCATTGACTTTAGAGCAGGTTTCAGTTGGTCAATGGCTCAGTCTATTTCAGTTCCTCAAAATAGCAAAACATCAACAATGCGCCTGAACACACACCTCGTTCTCAGATCAGCCTCCCATGGGCGCACAAATGAGCGCTAATGTATTTGCTATTTAAACAACGTGGCGCAGGACGTGAAAATGATAACTGCGTCGGGCTGAAACTGGCAAAACACACTTGCGTCGCACCGCTGTATGATAGGGCCCAGTGTGTGTGTTCCTCACCTCTGCAGCTCTTCGTCTGACGGGGTGTATTTGTCGGTAACGCCGGCGAGGTCTCCGAGCACCTGAGCGCTGTAGACCGTCAGACAGGCCAGCAGGATCAGCTCCTGCCAGGTGGCGCTCAGGAGACGCGTGTAATCCTCGATGGACAGCTCGCAGAAGAAGGGAAGCTTCTTGATCCAGGAGATCTGCCTGAAGAGAAGCTCGTCTGCCAGCCGACACAACAGCGCGAACAGCTCCACCTGAGTGACCCGATACCTTCGCAGGACAGAGAGAGAGCGTTATGAGTGACGGTTCACATGGCTGTTAATTCGGATGCATTTGAAGTCAGCGTTTTTATTTCAAAGCACTCTCCGTCCACACTAGCTTTTCCAAAAGTTTCTTGTCCACACTGAAATCATCTTAAGCTCAATTTATACTTCTGCGTCGAACTCACATTGCTAGCTAGTTTTAACACATTGCTAGCATGTTGTTAGCATGATTTAGCATTCAGCTAACATAATTTATCATGTTGCTAACATGATTTAACAAGTTGCTAACAAGATTTAACACATTGCTAACCCGTTGCTAGCTGATTAGTATGTTGTTAACATTATTTGACATTTTGCTAACATGATTTAACATGTTAACAGGATTTAACATTTTGCTAACATTTTTTACCATGTCACTAACATGATTTAACACATTGCTAGCATTATTTAACATGTTGCTAACATGATTAAACACATAACCTGTTGCTACCTGATTAGTATGTTGCTAGCATGATTTGACATTTTTGCTAACATGATTTAACACATTGCTAACAAGTTTTAACATGTTGCTAGCCTGATTTACCATGATTGCTAACATGATTTAACACATAGCTAGCATTATCTACCATGTCGCTAACATGATTTAACACATTACTAACGTGATTTAACATGTTGCTTGCATTATTAAACACATTGCAAGCATATTTCTAGCATGATTACCATTTTGCTAACAATATTTAACACATTGTTAACATGATTAACACATTGCTAGCATGATTTAACACGTTTGCTAGCTTTATTTAACACATTGTTAACATGATTAACGCATTGCTAGCATGATTTAACACGTTTGCTAGCATTATTTAACACATTCTTAACACGATTAACGCATTGCTAGCATGATTTAGCATGTTGTTAACATTTACCATGTTGCTAGCATGATTTAACACATTGCAAGCATGTTGTTAGCATTATTTAATGTTGCTAACATGATGTACCATTTTGCTAACATGATTTAACAAGTTGCTAACAAGATTTAACACATTGCTAGCCTGTTGCTAGCTGATTAGCATTTTGTTAGCATGATGATAATATGATTTAACATGTTGCTAACATTATTACCAAGTTGTTAACATGATTTAGCACATTGCTTGCACATTTAGCATGTTGCTAACATGATTTAGCACATTGTTAACATGATGTTAGATTGTAAAAAATGTTAGACGGACATCCAACTAAAATGTTTTTAGAAAAAAAAAAACGTTCCATTAACAATATAGATGAAGTTTTGAGAACAGAAAGACCAGATAACTGAACAAACATTCTATTAATGTTACTGGAGGAACGTTTGTTCATAACTTAGCCAAAGTTCAGAGAACGTTCCCTGTTACAGATATATCCATCAGTACAATGTGCGTCACATGACTAAACGCGCGTAACCGTTTTCAAATACCTCAGTTTTCACAGTCCACACTACACTGTAAAAACAGCGTTTTAAAATGTATCCAAAAAACTCAATGGAAACATGTCAATTTCACAAAAAACTCCCATATATTGCAAAAGATTTACCTCGTATGAGGTGGTTTTTCAGGCAATTCGAAAGGAATATTTTGCAAAACTTCAATGGGAACTTTTTTTTTTAAAATATTTTTTTTCCGCATTTACAGGTCACCTGACGTACGTAAAAGTCGATCATTCTTTAAAGATGGCGCGGTGTGTTTGGACAGAAGACGAGACCGAGTTCTTTATTAAACTCATAAAAGACAAAAGTATTACGGGAATACTGGATTCTAAACAACAAAGAAAAGCCACAATTTCTCAAGAGCTTGAAGCAGAAGGAGTGAGAAACACTCATAAGAGCCGCTCACAGTATAAGAGTCTTTCCTTGCCATTAATGCTGTGATAACACGCCTACGTCTCCTTCAGTTAATAATAATGGCTAGTGCGGCGGCTGCGATATACGTAAACCTACTAACATCGTCGCCATGATGTTTTGGAATGACTTATTGTGAGAGGAAAAAATTACGTTTAGTCGCATAACATCGGATAATGGAAACGCCAATAAATATCGCAAAAGTTTTGCGCAAATCTGTAATGGAAACGCTGCTGGATTGCCAAAACGTAAAGAAAAAGATGCGTGTGAATGTAGACGCAGCCCGACTGAGGTGTGGTTTACCCGTCCTCGATGAGCATTGGCGTAGCTAGCGGGGCCAGTTCCTCTGCTGCCACCAGCTGGCTGATGAGCGTATGGCTCTGCGGGTACAGACTCCGCGGCTGCGCGGCGTATCCGAACAGGTGAGGCAGGAACTGATAGTGCTGGGCCATCGCATTACCAATGTACTGTTCCCTGAAAGCAGCGGTGTAGCCGTTCAGCTCCACAGAGCGGCTGCGAGAGAAAGCACAGGAAGAGGAATAAACGTCAGAAGACTTCGTACATGCAGAACATGTTTGCACTTTCTGTAAAGCTGCTTTGAAACAATATGTATTGTGAAAAGCGCTATACAAATAAATTTGAATTGAATTGAATTGAATGTTTATTTGAATGCATTTGAGGAAAATACAAAGGAATGCAGTCTTTAAATTCGTGTGCATTGCAGCTGAAGGCTGTCATCTAAGGAATTTTTTTTTTTTTTTTTTTGTGCTGAACAACGATTAATCGCAACCAAAATAAAAGTTTGTGTTTACATAATATATGTGTGTGCACTGTGTATAATTATTTTGTATATAAAAAGACACACACGTGCATGTATACAGGTGAAACTCGAAAAATTTGAATATCGTGCAAAAGTTTTTTAATTTTATTTCAGTAATTCAACTTAAAAGGTGAAACTAATATATTATATAAACTCATTACATGCAAAGTGAGATATTTCAAGCCTTTATTTGTTATAATTTTGATGATTATGGCTTACAGCTTATCAAAAGCCCATATTCAAAATTAGAATATTACATGAAATCAATAAAAAAAAGGATTTTAAATACAGAAATGTCGGCCCTCTGAAAAGTATAATCATGCATATGTACTCAGTACTTGGTTTGGGCCCCTTATGCATGAATTACTGCCTCAATGCGGCGTGGCATGTATGCTATCAGCAAAATAGTCTCATTTTTCGAGTTTCACCTGTATTTAAAGGGATAGTTCACTTTGAAATACATTTTTGGTGACGTACACGGCGAGAGATCACTTCCGGCGCTTGCCGGAAAAGACCGAAGCGCCCGCGCCCTCAGATCACTTGGACGTGGCTGTGGTTACAAGAGGTAAAAACGATATAAATACTGTTCGTTTTCTCACACAAACCGCTCGTTTCGTGTCTTAGGCCATTAATGTGTACTTACATTTACGAGTCATTAAATCATGTTTAATTTGGACTTCTCTGTGCATGCTCTTTGAGGTGGTGACCATAGACCTGCATTATATGACTGACAGACAAGAACGGTTTGACCTAAAAATATCAAAATTGAAACTACTGCGGAAACAAAGACACCTACATCTTGGATGCCCTTGAGGTAAGCTAAAACATACCAAAAATTTATTTCAAAGTGAACTATCCCTTTAAAACCTGTGTATAATTATTTTGCATATATAAAGACACACACGTGCATGTATATATTTAAGAAATATATAATGTATATACTGTATATATATATATATATATATGCAAATATTTCTTAAATCTATACATGCACGTGTGTGTCTTGCAAAATAATTATACACAGTACACACACATATTTTGTACACACAAACTTTTATTTTGGATGTGATTAATCAGGATTAATCGCTGCACGTGCTTTGTGAATTGTTCCTACACTGAGTTCCACACGGTTGCAGCGGAGCCGGGAATACTCACTTGGAGGAAAGTGTGGATACGGGCGAGGGCTGATTCCCATCGGAGACGCCGTTGCCGGGAGAACTGTGGTCGCTGTCGCCGTTGTTTCCCCAGGTGTGTTCCGGCATGTTAGCTTCATCCTTAAACTCCTGTCCGGACATGATCCGTTCAATCTCCTCATCGGAAATCTGCACAAAGAGAAATTGTTGATCTAAATCCCAAACCGGTGCAAAAATCGACGAGTCATTTATTAAGACTTTTTTATTTACTTGTTCATGCTTTTGAAGTTGGTCAAGCACATTTGCACATTTTATTCAAATTTGAAAGGAAGTCATTCATTAAGGCTAAAGGTTTATCACTTATTGTTGTTCAGTGAATTTTTGCGAGCAAGTTGGTTGCATGAATTCACTATTGTTTTAATAAACAAATTCAAATATCTGCAAAATACCTAATATCTTGAAGGTAGAGAATCCCAAAAACTAAATTGAACCGTTTTAAATACTCTTTCGTACCCACCTCTATCAACATTTTAAATAGACTTGTACGCTGAGGCCTGGGAAGTGTGCAATAACTTGGTGTTCTGCTTGTTGTAATTTGTTTTAATTTAATTTTTTGGTGTAATCTTTTATTGAACGTGTCATGACTGTTTATGTAGCCTATGTGTACGTCTTTAGCTGTTATTTGTATTTTACGTGTATTTATTGTCTGTAAGGGCAGCTACTACGGTAACGCTTCCTTTTACAGTACAGTACTTACATGTACTTACAGTGTACTTACCTAGAAAGTACTGGCTAATATAAGGTAAGTACATGGGTTAGGGGTAGGTTCAGGGTTAGTACCTAGTTATTACCCAGTAATTATAATTACTATAATAAGTACATAATAAGTACATGGGTAACAGGACTGTAAAAGGAAGCGTTACCGCTACTACTATGCACTACGCACTCTTGAGTCCGTGACAAATTTCCCCATAGGGGACAATAAAGTATATTCTATTCTATTCTATTCTAAAATATAATGAATCAATTATTAAGACAAAAGGTGAGGTCACATGTACATTTGTGGAGAATTTATTTTGCAGGTAAAAATCATTTCAATTGGAAATTCCATCTGGATTTTTGCGTTAAGGTGAAAGATGGGTTCAAGTTGGTAACGCAGATTGTTTGTCAAAATTCAAAAACTTTACGGCCAAAGTTGTAGTCACATTGCATTGTTCAGCTAATTTTCATGAGCAAAAATTTGTCGTTTAAGTAGGAATCCATGCAATCTGGAATTTCATAAGAGGGCAAAAGATTTCCCAATGCAGATTTCGCAACGGGTTCAAGTTTGTCACACAGATTCACCAAAATAATTTTTTAATCAAAATTCCCAAACTGTGCAAAGTACGAGTCATTCATTAAGACTAAAGGTCTGGTGTTTTTGGCCGATTCCTATTTTAATAAACTATTAGCTGATTTCGATATTTGTCACTTGCTCTCTTATTTGAACTTTAGTCATTAAAATAGATAGTGTTTTGATCAAAAACGCATGCATTAAGTAATGATAGCTAGTTTGTTGCTGCATCATCAAATAATTTCTAATGAACATGGATTGGATCCAACATAAATACAACAAGACAAAGGTACATAAAGTTATTTAGTCGAGTAATGAGTGATTTCTCAGAGTGAGTCTTTTCTTTGTTGTAGCGGCCTTTTTCATGCTGTAGCCGATATGCCGATGGTTTTAAATTGATCAAAAATCGGTGAAGATTTCGTAATGAGATCAAGTTGGTCACGCAAATTTGAGGCATTGAAATTGCAAACTAAATTTAGCTGACATTTTGTTAATGTGACCGCGTACCTTAAGAATGTCTTAATCCCCCTGTAATAAAAATCCAGCTTTTAATGTTGTTTATGTGTCTATGTGGTGTTTTTAATACGCTTTAAGACAAACCATGTGTAAGTTCATAAGTCGACAGCATTGCTGAGTATTTTCTGCTTAAAACTGCAGTGAACCAAAGACAGTCTCAAAAACACGGTTTGAAATCGCTGGTGTTTCTGACGTCACAAACGACCTTGTAACCAATCAGATCAACGTGTGATCGTCAACCAGTGGATCTCTGAGCTGAGTGAGTGAGTGGAGGCGGGGCTCATTTGCATATTCATAGAACCGCGCATACTAAATGAGGCAAGGGTGTCGAGTTACATTCAAACTTAAGGCATGAAGAATTTTTTTCAATGAAAAAAAAGTTTAAATATGAAATTTTGGTGATCAAAGATGAGTTGGTAACACTTTATTTTAAGTTGCTTGTAATAAGCAGTAATTAACAGTTAATAAGACACTTATAAGACCTTGCATATAAGCATTAACTACTTCATATAAGGGTTAATTAAAGGTCCAGGCCCTGAAGAGATCAGGGAAACTACTCCCTCTTGGGAAGGTCAATTTTTAAGTGACTGGGAGTTTGTGTTACCATTTATGTTTGTTCGGCTGTTCTAAAAGTGCAATGTATTGATACTTGAGAAATTTGTAATTTAATTTAATTTATTTATTATCATTAGTTAATGCTCATATGCATCTTATATGCATCTTATAAGGCCTTATAAATGTCTTATTAACTGTTAATTACTGCTTATTACAAGCACCTTAAAATAAAGTGTTACCGATGAGTTTTAAGGGATAAAATGATTCACTACAGCGGGACTTTAAGAGAGTCTGTCGATTTCATCTCGTAGTCGATTTAGACCACAGGACAGGGACAGAAAGACGTTATCTATTGACCGTGCACAAAGCGCAACTCCATGAGCACTTAATGCGAATACGACAAAGAGACAAAACAGCGTTTAAGTCAAGGCCGTGCAATAAAGAATTCCCTTTTTAATTCAATTGAGGAGTTCGAGCCATCTTTAACAATGTTTTATTTTGTCAAAGGTAAAGCAAACTGCTATTGTGTGTCGCAGAGGCAATTAGGCCGAGTCAATAAGACGCGTTCTCTAGTGCTGGGATCAGGTGCAAACAAGAGCGCTATATGGACTAACAAGCTTCGCTTTTATACACACTTCGTCCTGTCTAACACAAGCACGAGAAACTCAGCGAATGCACTGAACGGAGCCTGAATGATCAGAATGATGTTGGAGAAAGTTCAATTCTACACACCTAAAATAACACAAACCTCTATATCAAAGGCCAAGTTGTGGATTATTAGGCAATTCAAGAGTCACACAACTACACATTCCCCTTATAAGAGAATTGAAAACATTCAGCTATATCCACTGCCATTCACATCCACATAACGCCAATGCAGAACAGCTGCTAAACACGATGATTATATAAAGTCAGATGAGAAGAATGACACGGCAGTCTATTCACTGGAGCTCTGGCCTTGAGAACAGCGACGACTCCAATGAAATTAACATCTTTAAATTAGGCGAAGGTCACAAGGCACTGCGGGCTATTTATCCCAAAACTCGTCTTTAATTTGCGACAAAACTAATCAGCTCTATTTCCTCAATTCACGACTGGAGAGGGCAGGAACGCAATGCCGGAAACTTGGGATGAATGGCAGTAATTTGTGACTTTAAAACAGTTCTGATGAAGAGAAAATCAAGTATTGAAGATTGCTAAAGAACAGAGAGATCAGGCCAGGCCATCTCATCAGCTTTAGTTTTCAGAGAAAAGTGTGTGTGTGTGTGTGTGTGTGAGGGGCTGTGTGTACCTGCACAGGCCCGATGCTTTTGTTCCTTCCTCCCGGCATGCCATCTTCTCTGATCGCTGCAAAACACAAAACCAAATCATCATTTACAAAGAATTTTACCTTCGAGATGAGAAATTCTTGCTTCGCCTCTTTTCAACATTTAAAGAGGTCTGTATGTCCCTCATGTAGGCGATTTAGATGTTAAGAGCTGGGTCTAACCCCAAGAAAAGCTGAAGATGGATTGGTAATGCTGCTCGTTCTTTGGCCAGAACATTGACGTTTGGTATGTTTTGATGAGCAACCTATTATAAGAGTTTCCTAACATCAATGTTTTGAGTCTAATATTCCCCGCATAATATAGAAAAGCAATAAGCCTTAAAAGTAGAGTAGGCATGTTCGGAGAGGCTAGCAATAGCATGTACTGTACTCTGTATTTGAGTCTCATGTGCCACTGAATGTTGAGTAATACTACTGTATGTTGTTGATCACGCAAACGCCCCATACTAGGAAAATAATCCTCCATAACCTCTAAATAAACCTCTCGTGGCTTACTATGAATAACGCATTAACAGTCGCATCCGTCACTGTAAACGGAAGGTGTCAGTAAGTAAGTGCAACGCAAGATAAATAAAAACGTACGACAGTTGAGAAAGATCCCCGGGTTTGTGTTTGTTATTTGTTTGTGTGTTAGACGGTAGGCAAAAAAAAAAAAAAAAAGTTGTCTGATATTGATCTAAATAAATATTGATATAATTTAATATGTGGTTGGAGGTTCTCATCTATGGCTTTAATATTTCGCAAACACTTTTATGGAATTCTGTGAGTAAGGAATAATTTACATCCAGCCGGTTATTATTACACGGCTCTGTGGAATACTTGACTCTGATTGGTCAATCGCGCCATCCAGCGGTGTGTTATTAACATAACAGCAACACAGAAACACAGGCTCATCCGGGTCACTGTAGTCAGCGGCGCTATACACTCGCTAGGAACGTTTTTTCTTTGAGGAAGTTTTGCATTTGGTGAGCTAATAAAATATTAAAACTCAATATTTTGTGTACAGTTATTCAATAATGCCATCCAGTATCATGGACTCGCTCTCTCTCGTTTCACACAAACGCTCTGCTGCCGCTTGTTATCTCAGAATAAACCCCTTCGCCTCGGGGTCCTCATCACCCTGTCGGGGTTTATTCTGAGATAACAACCGGCTGGATGAACATTATCCCTTACATGACATACCGCTGGATGGCGCGATTGACCAATCAAAATCAAGTATTCCATAGAGCTGTGTAATAATAAAAAATAATACCATTTTGTAACACTGTGAACATGCATTCTTTCTAGAGATGCATGAATGCACCAGGTCATCTTTGTAAATGAGAAGTGGTTCTCAAACAGTTTACCTGGATAAATGAAGGTTAAAAAAAAAAAAAAAAAACCCCCCCACATTTTATGCGCTGTAGACACATTATATTAGGCATCCAGTTTGATATAGTGTCTCCAGAACTACATGACTCTGCATTGTGAAGAGCCAGTGTCAAGGTCCAGCACACTTCTCAACGCTTGCTGCCAGTTTTCACAATGATAGGTGTCACTTTATAATAGCTTGTGGCATTTTCCCCCAATGTTAGTTTACCATATGAAACACCTAATTGGTAAGAGTCACCCTGCTGTGAACTAGCCTGGGAAAACCCAGACAACTTCGGGCAAATTTAGATTTGCTCTGAAAGTTAGTCTGGCAAAGAGCTCATTCAAGCCCATTTCCAATCCGTCGAAATCGCGGCACCAATCAGAAACGTTGGGGCGGGCTTTACACGTCATCTCCTTCATCGCTCTGATTGGGTTTAGGTCTATCCGCGACGTCCGTTGGTGACGCCCCTCTGGAAATGATTTGTCTATGACGCTTTGCCAGACCGTAACTCAGTTACAACTGAGAATGGTCTGGTTTTAACCAGGCTAGCTGTGAACACCAATCTAAATTAATCTAATCTAGTTGACTGCTATCAGGATGTGAAGAGAGTTTCAACCAGTATAACTGAAAGTGTTTGTGGAAACCATTGCCTGCCTTTAACTGTAAGCACAGTTCAGGTGGCTTATTGCTTTTATAAATTTGCAACTGATTTAAAAGATAAATATTTAAATAATAATTCACGCATCATTAAAGGGGCTATGTGTAGGTTTTTACTTTAAAAAATCTTTAAGATAGAGTCTTCATTTGTACATTTATGAGCCAACCATAATGTAATAGAAAGAATGACACCTTGACTGTCCACCTCTATCAGCCTGTAGGCTCAATTGACCTATGGCCAAGCCACGCCCCCAAACGCGATGAGCCAATCACAGTGCGCATAGCTAACCCAATACACTCGAACATTCTCTGCTTCCACGTCCATTGAAAGGCATTGCAGTTAGTCAGTTTTCATTCGTTTTTATGTTTTTTCTTTTCATTTTAAAATGGTCAAACGCATCTAGGTATCCCGAGAGGCTGGGCGACGGTGTGTATTTTTTACCCTTTCCCAAGCCACATCTCAACCGAGATAAGTGTCTGCTCTGGATAAAATTATGCGGTAGACCACAACACCAACTAAACAAGAATTAAACAAGGATGTCTACATCTGTTCTAAGTCAACAACGTATTTGAATGTTATCTTTAACATCTCTAACGTAACGTTAGCCTAACATTAGAAAGCATTGATGTTAGCTTCTAGCTGCGTTGTACATCATGTCACTTAGCTTCATTAACGTATCTTTAAATAACGGAGATGACAAATGTTAGCAATGTTGTGCTGAATGATTCATGTAAATAATGCAGTGCATGAACAATGCTGATCCTCTATCTTGTTGTCTGAGATGGTGATGGCTACGAGATGTGGTTTATCACGTTTACACTGTGACCTGTACATTTTTGCCTGGAGCTGAAGCTTTTCATCGACCTTCTCAACAATAAAATTATTAATATAACCCTCCAATGCATAGTTAAGGCCCTTTTGGTGACTTCGAGATGATATATAATCTTTCTGTCTCCAAAAATCATCAATTGCCTCCTGTGAAATGTCTCCTACTGTGACAGCTGCCATAGCGCCTGTCACCGAATGTGGACTGTTTGTCCGAGTGAGTGGAGGAGGCGTGGCTTAGCCATAGGTCAATTGTGTGTGAAGGAGTCGGGTCCGAGTTGGCGCGAAAATTCACAAAATGTGTCGTCATGCGCGTTCTCGTCTACTTGGGCTTACATCCGTACGGCAGCCATTAGTAAGCAGCGGCAATCGCTAGCAGTAGTGTTTCAAATGGACTCTGCGGACGGAAAGAAGCGACCAGCCTCCAGCACAATCCAGATACCCACGGAAACTCCTCGCAAGTAAAAAAAAAAAAAAAAAAAGCCTTATCTAGTGCGGCCAACGAGCGTGTGCACCGAGAACGAGCATGAGACTGGCTGCAGTTTCTCTAACGGCCACTGGTGTCAGTAACGGTTAGAAATTTCAGAACTTACGCAATGCTCCTTTAATAATTAGGTTAATTAGTCGACTATGTTATATGTACTATATAAATAGAGTTTAATTTGATGAGGTCAAAAATGTGGCTCATCCGATTAGATTAAAGGCCCTAAATTGTTTTTTTAAAACTTTAATTGATTGACAAACTTGTTTCCCCTGTGAAAAAAAGTGAGCTAAATTGTATTGAATGTGCACTTGTAGTGGTCTTTAAACCTTATTAGCATTGTTTTTTTACTACTTGCAGGTAATATAATATTGCTGAAATAAAAGGCAACTTAAGTGCACTTAAAGAGAGTTCACTTTCATGACTGTTTCTTAACACACTTAAGTGCGCTTTTAAAAAATGCAAGGTAACTGTTATTTTACAGTGTCCTTAGTAATAAGAGTTATTTATGCATTACATTATATGCAACTAACCCTGAACCTAACCCTATAGTAAGTACATGTAGTTCATTATTATTACTCAGTACTTAAATATATAATTACACTCTAAAAATGACACCTAAAAATAAAGTGTAACCGAATGGACTTTGTATTAATATCAAATGAAAGTTTTACTATAAAGCACATTTTAAATCATGTTTTAATAAACTTTAAAGAAGCACACTTATTTTGATGTGTTGACTAACAAACTGAAGCACATGTGAAGAACTTGATAAGAAATTATAATTTCAACTGTAGTGTGTTATTAAATATTACATTTAAACTTGTCAATATATTCTAAATGTATTAAATTGCAACTAACAATTACAAGTGTGTAATTACAAATATATTTAAATGCATGATATGCAAGTTTCAAATTTATAGAGTATATTTTATATTTAGCAAAATATATTTTATTTACCAATAAACACTTGTCAGTTCACTTTAACCATATTTCAAAGACAACCGGAGTAATTATGAAATTATTATATATATACAGATGTATTTAGGTTTTATTTAAGTGGTTAAAAAGCAGCACTAAAATCCAGCTAATTGCATTTCATTTAAACTATAATACTAGTTCATTTAATTGCAGTTGAAGTGCAATTTAGAGTCTAAAATCATTGCATTCAGTTTGCATTTAAGTATATTTTAAACTTTTTTAAAAGTATGCTAAAGTGTAATTCTCACATCTCTCTGTCTTTAGGAAGATTTTGTCCTTGTCCATGTACTTACCATAGTAATAACAGTAAATGATGCATAATTACATGCAACTAACCGTCAACCAAATCCTAATCTACCCTTACCCTATAGTAAGTACATGTAGTTGCTTAATATTACTCAGTACTTAAATATATAATTACACTGTTACAATGACACCTTAAAATAAAGTGTAACCAAACTAATATTCTGTACGTGTCTCAGCTATAGTGTATAAACAGTAGCTTTTATGCTGTACAAATGGAAAACAAATGCATAAGAGCTTTGATAAAACCCATCTACAACCAATATAACCACAGTCATCTGAAGATGTTTCCTAACCCAAACATATCATGACAGTAAGACATGGTCACTAGAGGGCAGTGCTGATTGGTTTAATGTGTTTTCCCTTCTGGACCAGTTCATACTAGTCCAAGCTGTATCTATAGGTCACCTGATCGACCAGCTGGAAAACAAACCAGCAGAAGAATTTGAAGCTAGCTCTGCGTCTCAATGTCCATACTATCCATCCTAAACAGTGTGTGAGATTAGAATAAATGTGTCCCAAAGCATATTATGTTAAAAAGAGTGTGTCAGAAGTCCCTGGATGGTCCACTATTCCCGCTGGATTTTCGAAGTGTGGATCCCTCACTATAACAGCTAATATTACCCACAACCCACTGCGCTTCAGAGGAGGAACTACAAACACGAGTAAAAACTGTTAAAAAACTACAAAACATGGCGGATATGCGCAACCGAGGGTGAGAGGTTTAGATAAAGGTTTGAGTGACTAATCAAAGTTTAACCTGATAGAAAAATATTTATTTAATGTTATCCGTTTTATATTTCATCTGCAACAATAACAATGTGGACTTTTATAAAGATCCGTTTGGCCATTAACTTTTAAATGCATTATGCATTAATATGAGGAGTCTCCGCATGAAAGACCCGCGACTGCAGATCCACGAGCTTCTGCATTTCTCTCCGATACGGTAGGATGAAAAGTGGAGGATTTTAACTGTGACAAGATGATTGACAGGCCAGTTTACTGTGACAGAGAGCAACAGTTAAAGACACAATTGTATGACGTGATAGTGTGTCTCAAAGCTTGTCTACTCCTCTGCTACACACTCTAAAGTATCGACTTTTTCTTCATAAAAACAGTACATACTTTTAGGGCGTAGTATAAGTAGGCGAATTGAGACGCAGCATAGGTTCAGTGAATGTTTTAGCCAGGTTAATCTAGTGTGATCCGTGTGTGTGTTGACCTCTGACCTTTGCGGTTCATCCCCATCTGCAGGCACTTGAGCAGCCGGCAGTACTGGCAGCGGTTGCGCTGTTTGCGGGACATCTCGCAGTTCTTGTCGCGACTGCAGCGATACACACGCTTGTTGCAGATGCTGCGCTTGAAGAAGCCCTTGCAGCCCTCACAGGAGATGATGCCATAGTGAAGTCCTGTGGCTCGATCTCCACAGATCAGACAAGAGCGCTGCTCAGCCTGCTCATCTGAGGGAAATACACACACACACACACACACACACACACACAGATTAGACAAGAGCGCTGCTCAGCCTGGTCATTTGAGGGAAAAACACACACAGATTAGACAAGAGCGCTGCTCAGCCTGCTCATCTGAGGGAAACACACACACACACACACACACACAATTACATTACTTTAAATGAGTCCCCCCCAAGATTATTGTTATAAACATGAGCCTCGTCTGAAAGGCAGAGGGGGAGGTGTTGCTGTAATTTATAGTAATATCTTCAGAATTACTTAGAAGTCTTGTTTCAAATATGATTCTTTTGAAGTGTTGGTGCTTAATGTAACACTATAGTGTAAATTATAAATCACGTTTGAGATGTGTGTTGGATACTGTATACAGGCCACCATACAGACTTTATCAAAGAATTTGCTGACTTTCTATCAGAGTTAGTACTGGCTGCAGATAAAGTTCTAATTGTTGGTGATCTTAATATACATGTAGATAATGAAAAAGTTGAACTCTATTGGAGTTAGACCGTGTCAGGACCTAATGATTGTCGCAATCATACTCTAGATCTAATATTATCACACGGAATCAATGTTGATGTCGTTGAAATTCTGCAGCAGAGCGATGACATCTCAGATCATTATCTAGTCTCGTGTATACTTCATTTAGCCAAGGTTGCAAAGCCGACTCCGTGTTACAAATATGTTAGGCCTATCAGTTCTGCCACTAAAGATCGCTTTATTAATAATATTCCTGATCAGTTTCATCTCCTCAGTATCCTAGCTTAGAACTCGATATTGCGACAGAAACTGCAGCCAGGAAAACAAAACTAGAGTTTTTCCGCATTTCATGGAAAGAGAGCATGATTGCGTATAGAGGGGCCTTAAAAACTGCTAGATCTTTCATTCGAAGTCACGTTTCTAGTATCTGTAAAACCGCATTCTTCCATCTTGAAAATATATCTAAATTACGGCATATGCTTTCAATGAAAAATGCAGAAAAGTTAGTTCATGCGTTCATGACATCAAGGCTAGATTATTGTAATGCTATTATGGGTGGTTGCCCTGCACGCTTAATAAACAAACTCCATCTGGTCCAAAACGCCGCAGCTCGAGTTCTTACCAGAACCAGGAAGTATGACCATATTAGCCCGGTTCTGTCAACACTGCATTGGCTCCCTATTAAACAGCGTATACATTTTTAAATATTGCTGATTACTTACAAAGCACTAAATGGTTTAGCTCCGCAGTACTTCAGCGAGCTCTTAACGCATTATAGTCCTTCACGTCTATTGCAATCTCAAAACTCTGGCCAGTTGATAATGCCTAGAATATCAAAATCGACTGCAGGCGGTAGATCCTTCTCCTATTTAGCACCAAAACTCTGGAATAATCTTCCTACCATTGTCCGGGAAGCAGACACACTCTGTCAGTTTAAATCTAAACTAAAAACACATCTCTTTGGCCTAGTTAACCACTAAAGTTAACCACTTTATTAATCCCACAAGGGGCAATTATATTAGGGCAGTGGCATCACATCATAAAATAAAATAAACATATATTAAAAACAATCATATTCCACATACACATCTACAAATTACAACATCCCAATGCACCATGCTTAATAGTAAAATTCACACAAGGGGGAAAAAAAACAACTCTCATTGCATTCTGTATATTTGCTTGAAATGTACATTCCTATCCACTGTACATTCACTTCTCTGCTATGAAGATACGCTACTGTTCAAAGGTTTGGGGTTGGTATTAGATATTTTAATGTTTTTATTCGCTTATACTCACCAAATCAGTATTTATTTGATCAAAAATACAGTAAAAATGTGAAATATTATTGGAATTTAAAACATCTGTTTTCTATGTGAATATATAGTAAAGTGTAATTTATTCCTGTGATCAAAGCTGATTTCCAGCATCATTACTCCAGTCTTCAGTGTCACATGATCCTTCAGAAATCACTCTAATATGATGATCTGATGCTCAAGAAACATTTATGATTGTTATCAATGTTAAAAACAGTTGTGTATAACAATATTATTGATCTCCTGCATTGACACCATTATATGAGATCTGATATGAGCTGGACGATGACATCACGGTTTTCTCCAGAGCGGAGAAACTAAATTAATAACTTTTTTACAACAAAAATGAACCATCGCTGAACTTACTTAAGCTGGACTATGACACTCTTTTCCTCTAGATCTGAACAAACTCAGAAACAAACTTTGTTGCATTATTTTCCTGTTATCTCTGTAAAGCTGCTTTGAAACACTCTGTATTGTAAAAAAAAAAAAGCGCTTTATAAATAAAGGTGACTCGACACTTTTATTTTTCAGGATTCTTTGATGAATAGAAAGATCAAAAGAACAGCGTTTATTGGAAATATAATCTTTTATGCAGTTACTATTCATTTGTAACCAATTTAATGAATCCTTGCTGAATAAAAGTATTAATTCCTTTTTAAAAAAACGGTAGGGAATATGAATGTGTGATTTTGAGTAGAAAATTGAAAGTTTGAAGCAATGAGACAACAGAAGCAATGATAAAACAGTGAAAAAATCATGCTTATTAAACTAACCCAGTGCATGATGAGAAAAGCGAAATCACTCACTCTCTTGAGTAGGCACTTATTTTGAAAAAATAATTACTCAGTATTAGTATGAATGTAATCTGTTGTCATTATCATGTGATCTACCAGCATCGCTTCACTGTCCTTCATAAATCCTCTCCCGTGGCCTCATGGGATAGTAAAGTGTCCGTCATATACACACTTCATCTCACCAGAAGTATCAGGTAATCCGGGTACTTTTCACCAACTGTTTTACGAGTCCTGTGAACTCAGACATACTTCTTTTGTCGCATACTGTGTTTCGCCTACTATATAGTAGGGAAGTGTGTGATTTCGGACGCAGCCCAATCCAAACACACACACACACCCTCCCCCGGCCTGTGAGCAGATGGGTCGTCGCCATGGTAACGGTGAATGTGCGAGGAATGTGCTAGCTCACCGCGGATGACTTAGCGAAGAAAGGGTTCAAACCAAGAGCAGCGGAAACACATGAGATCAGCGAACACTGAAGCCAGACCCCCGTCTACACTACAATCAGGAGAGAATGAGCCTTTCACATGCGGATCCCTCGACTAATCACTCCTTTAATTAACACTCTGATAAGCTTGTTTGGAAGTCAAACCGTGAGGCAGAAACTACAGTGATAAACATCTGTATTTAACTCCAGCGGTGAGTCACATCAGATGTGGAGCTTGGTAAAGGAGGAAGAAATCAGTGGCAAAATGCAGTCATTACAATGTAGTGATGACGGTTTATTCAATTAATAATTCACATGAACTGAAAATATTTGCATTAGTAGATCACCTTTTGCAGCCTGTACTGTATCATATGTAATCCTCAATTTCTGAATGATCATCTCATGTTAGTAATATTTCAAGACGAACACTCGAGTTTACTCGATTCAAATGCGAGTATCAAATATGATCATCCGGCTTTTGAGGAAGGGTTATTTGTTCATCTGTCAATCATCATTGTATTGCATTGCATTTTATGTTTTAAAAGAGATTAGATCATAAAACTAAGCATTTGAATATCAGACATTATTGTCAGATATAAAGAGATAACTGATATTTATAAGCATTTTAAGGTTCTTATAAAGATCTCATTGATTTACATTACAAGTTCAAATAATGTAAGAATTTGCAGCAGATTGCATATTTTTGCTCTGAAATTGAGTTTTTTTTTTCCTCGAGTATGCGCTTCATATTGTCAATATATATACTATAACTTTTTTTTACATTTTATCTAAAGGTTCAATACACTGTTGAATATCAGCTTCTGCAGCAAATTGCATATTTTTGTGTTTATTTCCTCGGGTATGACCTTCATATTCTCAATATATCATACATTATATAAGCCATACACGTTTTTTTTACATGTATTTTCTTATCTAAAGGTTCAATAAACTGTTCAGTTAAAAGAAAATAAATAGATTTTTCAATCTTACTTCATATCTAAGACTTCACAGAACTAATACAGCGCTTGAAAGCACGCATTTAAGTCATGATTTGCAAAATCAATTGAAACTCAAGTCTTTTCAGCACTGTACGCGTGATGAAAGATCTACGTGTTATGAAAGTGTAAAGTCAGGTTAAAGCACTACAGAAAGTCAAGGCGATAAACACAAACGGGGATATTTCCCGGTGAAAGAGAGCGAAGAGAAGAGGAAAGAGCCGGCGGGGTCAACGGACCATTAACACAGAGTTCAAGTCATAAAAACAGGGTCACGGCCCCATGTCTTTTCTCTCTCCATGCGAGAGGCAGTTCCACCGGCCCGTCATTACAGCAGAGTCAAGAACGGGCCATTCATGCCATCTGACATCGTCCCTCTCTTTAGGATAGTATGATTACAGTGCAAATGCTGTCTTTTCACGGGGCTTTCAAAGCGAAGAGAAGAGAAGAGGTCAAGAGTGCGCAGATACAGTTTCGCCGGAGTTAAGTGTGTGTTTCGGTCTTCATTCACACTCGCTCTGGGGAACTAAACCTCATATTCTGACCTGCAGCGAGAGGGTTTGCTTATAAACATTTGAAATGGTTAACAAATACAATAACATACAATATTACATATACACCACATAAAACATCACAATACATATATCCAGGGATGTAAGGTTTACAATATAAAACAAATAATTTACAACACAAAAGAAACAAGGATGCGTTTAGTTGATCGAAAGTGACTGTAAACACATTTATAATCTATTTCTTTTGATCTTTCTGTTCATCACAAAAAATATGAAGCTGTTTTCAACAGTGATAATAATCATAAATGAGCATCAGATCATCATATTAGAGTGATTTCTGAAGGATCATGTGACACTGAAGAGTAATGATGCTGAAAATCACAGGAATAAATGACACTTTACTATATATTCACATAGAAAACAGCGGTTTTTAAAAATGTTTACTGTAGTTTTGATTACATAAA